GTGCTGTAGATTTGATTAGTTGTGCTAACTTCAAATTTTATTGTGTAGAATGAATGCAAGTTTTGGTATTGGAAAGAAGAGTGCATCGAGAAGGCGCCAACCCAACATCTGGCTTGAAGAAGAAAGGAGGATGCCAGATCGAGCCTCCTCCACAGATCAACAATGAGTGCATCGAGAAGGCGCTAACCCAACTCAAGGGGGCAGTTATGGAAGTTGACTATCTTCTAAAATATATTCTTGTTGTTTTTATTTTCTTTGGCCTTGCTTTACTAGTTAAAATGTGATGATGTATTGTCATGTATCAAAAATGAATGATAAAGAAAATAATGATTTGCAAAGAAAAATACGCGGACAGGATATGGCCGGAATGCGTCTGCATGCTGGGCGCACGACCACCGCATCGCAGGACACGCTCGGATATGATCCTAAATCCCTATCCAAAAAAACAGAATCCGGACAAAACATACGTCTGTTTTGAAATCGCGCGGTGGGATTGGCCTAAGACAAGCATGCATGATCGATCGATCCTCCAATCCACATGCTACCGGGAGAACAAAGTTGCAATTGCTGTAAGCACGCAACTACCGCTTCGTCGCGGCCGGCGGCTCTATCGCCGCGAGGGCGACGTCGCGAAAGGAACGACAGAGAAATCAACATAGATTGAGGAGAATCACAGAATAGGCCGTTACATCATTATATATTACGCTTATGTCTGGATTTGGACGACAAATACGACATAGGATACGTAACTGAATGATGTCCATGCCCCATAATTAAGAAACAAGACAACGTATGTGTGTTGCGTGCGCACGATCTGTTTGTGGCCTCGTGTGAAAATGTTCATCTAGTTCACTAATTGCTTTTAGCCTCGTAGGAATTTACGGGGGGAGATCATGCACGCAGAGAATGGATACAATATACAAGCACGTGTGATTGTTTCTTGGTCACTTTGTGAATTTTGTGCAGGTTGCATACGGCAATGTTTAAGTTTAAAAATTTTATATGCACATACATATATTCATGAGGTAAAAGCATCCGAGGTACCCTAACTTGCATGAAATGTGATAATTTAGTCCCAAACTTGCAAAATGCAACTTTATCATATCTCAACTTTGCGCTGGATGTGACGATTTAGTCCCAGGCCTATCACAGCGCGACAATTGGCAGCCACGTGGCCGGACCGGTCCTCGCCTGCACTTTTACAAAAAACACCATGCCGTCTTGCCTAATTAACCCGCGCTACAAATCTGTGATGCGATATTGACTGATTCTTGGAAGACTATTGACTGATTTCCCAATAAAGTGCCTATTATTCAATGATGCCATACTGCAAGATGAGAATACAGATACTGTAGAGAAAATTGTTCCCAAAGGGTTCCAAATAGCATGAGGAAACATTGCAACTTATTTGTGATTGAATAGTCTTTTCCACGTGCGTTAGCTAAACATATAACGCCTCCTCCTCCTTCTCCTCCTCCTCCTCCTCCAAGAAAGAAAGTTAGGGTTCGTGCCTCTCGCCGGCGCCGGTCCGCCTCGTCTCCGGTGGCCCTAGGGCCATGGAGGCGCGGTGGATCCTGGCAAGGGCCGGCGGGAGGGCTTCGTTTTTAGTTGTTCTTTCCAATCTTGTTAGGATTTGTGCCCTACTCAGAAAGGCGAGACGGCGGCGGCTCCCTGAAGATGGAATAAAGGTCTCCCCGCCTAGCCCCCGTTCCAGCGGTGCGTTTAGCATCGTTGGTGGGCGTGTGGAGGTGTGTCTCCCGCAGATCTATCTCTGGTGGATTTGCTCGGATCTCGTCGTTGTTCGTCTACGTTCGTGTGTCTTTGGTTTGGATTCTTCCGATCTACGTTATTTTTCATCGGCGGCGGTTGCTGTTCTGGGGTGCTGGTCCTATGGGGCCTTAGCACGACGACTTTCCGACTGTCTACTACAAGAAGTTGTGCCCAGCTCCGGCGATGGAGGGGCGATGACGGCGGCGCGTCTTCGGCTCGCTTCAGTGCTTGTAGTCGCCGCTAGGTGGTCTACGGATCTGAATGTAATTTTTATTTCTGGTGTTCGTTGTACTGCCATGATTGAAGATGAATAGATTGGAAGTTTTTCCGAAAAAAAAAGAATAGTCTTTTCCACATAAGCAACCATAAAAATGTGTCATATCAGACAGTATAAAGAAACTATGTCTTCTGTAGGCACAAATAGCCTGAGGCCAGTACCAACAAACATATCTCAATAATGGAGTGGCATACCACAGCTGGACCTCCTTGGCGAACAAAGAACAGCTGTGTTCAATCTCACGTTGTAATCAACCCGACCAAAACCGATACAAGGGTGCTAGTTCATTTTTGGTATGTGCAGGCGAGTCGAGTAGCTCTAGCTCAAAACTTTGTATAGGCCGATTTTCACGGGTAGATTTGAATCATTCTTTACCACTTATGAACAAATCATTGACATCTATAGCTCTCATTGAAACACACATGGTAATATATAAAAATACCTTGACACGCTCAAAGTGATGCTCCTGTTGCATTACTTGCTTTAATTCGTCCTCTTGCTTCCTTCTTTCTAACTGTTACCAGCACCACATTAGCCATAAACATATAATATTTTTCAAACACAAACAGACATTTATGATGAAATACATGCAGCTTCTTCAGTAAAGCAATTTGACGGGTAACTTCCAATTTTTGCTTGGTTTGCTTCTCAGCTTCTTCAGCGGCATCACGATGAACCTTAGCAGCATCAAACAAATGTCTGCAATACTCGACATGGGTTTCTATTTTCCTCTCATCAAAGCCATGGGAATGGTACGTTGATGCAACAGACAACAGACTGAACACTCTAATGGCGTTCTGAAGCTCAGAGACTGTTGCACGAACCTAGAAAAAGAAAGCATGCAGCAAAAATTAGTTCTGTGGTTAGTAAAGAGTACATACAAGATGATAGATTGTCATATCTTAAACAAGAAGGTGGGCGATGGCCTCTAAAAGAAGCGACCTATCTAGTGAAGGAAAAAACTGTCATGAGGCTTTTATTCCCTATGCCTGTAATTCATAATACCATCTTTCAGCATATCAGGGTCAGATCTATGCTCCAATAAGTCTGTAGATGGGACTACCCAATTTATATTGCCAGAACATTGCAGTAGTTTTGTCTGCTGTAGCTTGCAGCACGGAAAAGTTTGGTATAGATCTTAACAGGGGACTTGTATTCACACAAGGTAGTGTTTGGATAGGGTCAGGTTGAATGGTTTGCTCCGCCCACCACGGCAAAGACAGTTTTGATTGATCAATGCCACGGCAAATTCAGGTGGAGGTGAGTGCGGGTTGATTAAAGGAAACGGCAGGGGGTTTTGTGCAAAAGTGTGTGCGCTGACCGGTCCAGCCACCTGGCTGCCAATTGTCGAGTTCTCATTGGCCTGGGACTAAATCATCACATGAGGTGCAAGTTGAGGTATGGTGGAGTCAAGTTTTGCAAGTTTGGGACTAAATCTTCACATTCTATGCAAGTTAGGCTACCTGGGGTGCTATTACCTCTATTCATCCTTACCATCTCGATCTCTCTTTTTCCTGAGCCCATACTCAATTGCACCAGGTCAAAAAACAATTCACAATCCCCGCAAAAAAACAATTCACAAATTGCCAAAAAAATGTGCGTGCTATTTTTTTTAAAAAAATCGGAATTTCAAAAATTATCCCCGTCTTTAAAAAATGTCAGCAATTTGAAAAAATATTTACCTTTTTCAAATTTTGTTCAGAAGATTTTGTGTTGACTTGTTGGCTGATTAATTTCTTGCAAACGGTTGTTGTACGCTTGTCTTTCTTCAACAATGTCCTGTCAAACTGCTGACTTTTTGCGTGCCGTAAACACGTTGGAAAAGCTTCAGCAGATAATTGTTACACCTCAATCGGCTTGGCAGAGATCCCGATAAGGATGCGCCACGAGGGCACGAGGTAGTAGTCTTCACAAGATACGTGCGCGTATAAACTACGTCAACGCTGAACCAGTACGAGGAGTGACCACTCCAACGATCCTCCAATCCACATGCTACCAGGAAATAAGACAAGTATGCATGATCGATCGATCCTCCAATCCACATGCTACCGAAAAAAAAACGGTACAATTGCTGTAAGCACGCAAGGACCGCTTCGTCGCGGCTCTATCGCCGTGAGGGCGACGTTGCGGAAGGAACGATAGACACAAATATCCATTTCTAAGCCCATACTCATTTACATCCGGTCAAAAAACAATTAAAAAATAAAAAATATTTTTTTACATGGTAGATAATTTGATGTGTGAGGTGCACTCCAAATTTCAAGTCATTGGACGTATGAATAGCTCTTAGCAAAAAAAAGGACTCTCTATTCTACATCCGGATGAAATTCAATTAGCTTTCATCCAGATTTTTCAGCCAACCACAGGATGCCAACTGTCCCCTGTCTCATGTTTTCTTTTCTGCCCCGCTTTTAAACAAATTAACGGGTCCACACCCCAACTTTTCCAACCCGGACAGAACGACAGCCAAAAGAGGAATTGAAAGAACCACAACGGTACGCCCAAAGCTTTTACATGATCACTAGGCTAACAAAAGGAGGAAAAACACCAAGATGATGTCACCTAAAAAATACATTGACAAATACAGTGTAAAATTCACTAAAAACCATAGTAATTTCTATCATGCCCATTGAGAATTATAGTGAAAGATGCATTAAAGTGACACTGCAAAAATCCACTAAAATTACACTGTAAATCCACTAAAAAACTGCTAAGATTAAACACTAAGAATTACAGTGTAAAATCCACTAGAATTACACTTTTGCACTGAAAAACTGCTAAGATAAAACACTAAGAATTACACTGTAAGGAACATTAAAGAAACCACTGTAAAATCCACTAAAAAGACACTGTAAATCCACTAATAAATCCAAGATGATATGTGTTTTTGGAACTGTCTGAAATCCAATTCGTTTCCAGTCATAGTTTTTGGCAACACAGAGTTTAACTAGTGTCACATGTGCTCCGTTTTGTTCCTGTCCCCTGAATGTGTCGATGTGCTTGTCCACCCATTCAAGAAAGAAATCACCGGGGGAATTCCTCCAAGATCCAGAGGGCAAACCTGGAGAAAATCATGGATGCACAGGTAAGAGATCCTCACCTGACAATCTTCTCCACCTCCCTGTGAACAGTTCCCTCTCCTACTTACACGAAACGTGGACATGAAAAACAGAGGAAAAACTAGCATTACATTGCAGGAAATTAAGAAAAGCAGATTAGAAAAGGAGAATGAGGTCATGGGAACAACATTGGCATGAAAAGGCATGATCAAATTCCCCCTTTACACGGTACCGGAAACATAAAACAGGAACTCTACAAAAGATTAATCAAATTACTGTGAGCAGTGATCAATTTAGCAAATTATAGTGACTTTTACAGTACAATTGCAGTAGATTTAAAAATATAATTCACAGTACAGTTACCGCAAATTTACAATGCTAATTTACGGTAGAATTACAATGAAAAGCCATTGTTCCAGTGACAATTACAATGTAATTTACAAATAGGATTACATAGTACTCCCTCTGTAAACTAATATAAAAGTGTTTAGATCACTATTTTAGTATTCTAAATGCTCTTATATTAGTTTACGGAGGGAGTAAATTACTACAAGTTACAATGACATTTTATAGTAGATTTACAGTGTAAAAAACAGTAATCGTCTTAAATCATGCCTGTAAAACTGCATCTCAACTTTTTACACTGTAAACAGCTTATAAGTGCAGTGAAAATAGGAAAATAAGTAGAGTACACTTGCTAACAAACACCACTGAGTGCTTTCATTATCTTCGAAAATTTCAGCATCAAGAAGTCATACCAGCAAGATGAAGATGCACTCCTTCATGTAAGATGAAGCCAAAATGACCGACTTAATTCTCTTGCTATTAGACCCCAGTAACTGTCATATGCACACAGTACAAAAATTTAAGTCTTGAGTAGAAAAAAACACCTAGATGTATGGTCCAAATTTCTGAAGCTACGCATTGTACTTACACTCAAAAAAGTACAGAAATCAACATATCTTGAGAGATTACTGAGATAATTTTCCTTTTTTATAACTTGGTTGTAAATTACTCTGACCTTCCTGTGTAAATACTGAAAATAGATTGGAAATTACAGTACATAGGATAGTAAGTTACAGGGTTAAAAATGTACATTAACTTAGACTGTAATTACATATGTAAATCATTACAATTACAAATAAAATTCAATAAAATTACACAGGGAAATTGAGTGTAAGTACACTAACATTACGGTGTAATTACATAGCATCCAAATGACTTTACAGTGTACATACACTGAAAAATAGACTGGGAATGGGATAGTAAGTTACAGGGTTAATGTACATTAACTTAGACGGTAAGTACACAGGTATTCAGATTAATATAGACTATAAGTTACAGAAGATGAAACAAAACAGTACAAATTCCAGTGTAAATTCCAGTAAGGATTACACTGTAAAAAGACCCACTAAAATACACTAAAGATCCAAAAATAAGAATTACCGTCAATTACACTAAAACCACTGACGATATCAGTGCAACTTGATTTACGCTGTAAATCCAATTGGATATTACAGCTAATAAGCGGAATTACAGTGAAAACCCACTGAGAATTAGAGAAGAAATCCCCTGCAAATTACAGTGGAAACCAACTGAGAATTACACTTCACCCACTAAGAAAAATACATTGGAATTCCGATGAAGATTACAGTGTAAATCTAAATATAATTGCAGTCTAAATCCACTAAGAAAATACACTGGAATTTCGATGGATATTACAGTGTAAATCCAAACATAATTATAGTGCAAAACCACAAAGAAAATACACTTGAATTCCGATGAAGATTACAGTGCAAATCCAAATATAATTACAGTGTATATCCACTAAGAATTACAGTGTAAATCCAAACATAATTACAGTGCAAAAATCACGAAAATACACTGGAATTCCGATGAAGATTACAGTGCAAATCCAAAAATAATTACAGTGTAAATCCACTAAGAATTACAGTGTAAATCCACTAGGGATTACACTAAGAAATGCAATTTACAATCCACTAAAATTACACCGACAAAAAAACCAGAGTGGAGAAGTACATCAATCTCACATATATATCCCTTACTATTCCTGAATAGTACATCTAACAGAGAAAAACCACATCAAGCCCCCCTGAACATGTACTACTGCCCACTAGAAAACTACATGTACAATTACTACTCCCCCCGAAAAGATGAACATACCAAAGCCCCCCTAATCCAACCTAAGCTTGTTAGATTCAGAAGACCTGAGCCTTAGTACTTGCTAACTGCGGGATTAACACCTACTAGTAGTAACCTTGCTGCACAAAGGATTAACACTGATCCTACATTACAACCAACAAACTCTGAAGGCACTCTACTCTAGCTTTGCTTTGCTGACCCAAAATACATCACAACAACAAAACAGTGACCATGAGATTTTGACGCTGCTACTAGGAGAGCGAGGACAATCAGCAACTGATAACCGCCTACTGTAGAGGCCACTGAAATTGGCTTAACGGCTTGAATGGCTGGAGCAGACCAATTCTGCTACTGGTTTAGGTGGTAAATCAACAAACAAACCTAACAGCATAGGGCTAACAAAACCTACGACCACGAACATGGATTTGAAGACACTGAAACACGAATCAAGTGTGTTCGAACTCAAATACCTAGAGATTCAATCAGCCGGATACAACCAGAGAATAGATCAAATCAGACCGCAAAGTACACACCCTACAATTAGCTGTGAGTACGAGATTCGATCCTAGATTACACCGCAAACACACGCATCAGACAAAAAAGGATAGATCTGAGAATAAAATCCTACACAGAACTTACAACACACATGAGGATCCAGGCAAAAACGGATGAACATACCGAATCACAAAGACCAGCGAAGTCGCCGAGGCAGAAATAGAGGCCGCGGGTGGGTGCGGCGGTCGAGAGATGCTGCAGACTAACGGCGCGAACATCGGGGGAGTAGGAGGGGGTGGGCAGCCGGACGGGAGTGAAGCAGCCGGAGGGAGAACGCCGGCCAGCCTAGCGAATCGAGCGGATAGGGAACCACCGAGTCGCCATGAATCTCTCTCTCGACTCTGTTCTGGTTGCCTGTTGGGAATGACAAGGGAACGAGAGGGAGTGGAAGGGAACCTGGTAGCTACAGAGGCGAAATGAAAAAAAAACACAAACACGGGTCGGGCCTCGTGAGCGAGAACGGGTCTCCCCCGGAAATTGAGCGCGCCCGATAAGCCAGCCCGGGTCGTAGCAAGAGATCAGACGAATCTAGGGACACAGATCGGACGGCTCACAAATTGGATGAACGCCAATAATTTTCATCCGGATGAAAATTAGCAGTCCCAAAAAAAACAAGGTCAGAATAGTACATGAATAGTAAATTTTTCTATAGACTATAAATTTGTCTTTTTTGTTGAGAGCTACTCAGATGCCTAAATAATCTGAAATTCGAAATGGATCTCACGCATCAAATTATCTAATGTATAATTTTTTAAAAGAAATCTACTACTCCCTCCTTTCCCAAATATAAGTCTTTTTAGAGATTTCAACAAATGACTACATACGAAGGAAAATGAGTGAATCTACACTTTAAAATATGTCTACATACATCAGTATATTGTTTGAAATATCTAGAAAGACTTATATTTAGGAATGGAAAGAGTATTTGTAATGAATTTTTTCTTCAATGCTGATGCAAATGAGTCCAGGCATCGAATCGCTGCACTGACTACACTATATTAGTATATGTTTATGATTACGTCTGGTTTGGACAACAAATACGACATAGGCTACATATTAAATGATGTCCATGCCCCATAATTAAGAAACAAGACATCTATGTATGTTGCGTGTGCACCTTGTGGCCTCGTAGGAACATGTCGGCGCCTCCGCTCCGAATAGCAATTTAGGTTAGGGTTTTTTAGACCTCGCACGTGCGACGCTTGGACGGATGGCGGCGCTTGGACGGATGGCGGCGCTTCTTCGATTTTGTCTTCTGAGCTTCGATTCATGTCGTCTCCTTAGAGCGGTGAGGTTAGTGTTTCTCGTCATGTGACGTGATTTGGTTTCAGGTGTTTCCGATCTATGCAAGGATTCAACAATGATGACTACGGCTTTAGGGCGCTGGTCCTTAGGGGCACGTACATGAAGACTTTTAGGTTGTTATCCACAAGGTCAAGCCGGCTTTGGTAGGAAAACGACTACAACGGTGTGTCGACGACTTATTTTGACGGCAGTAGAGGTTGTTGTGGTCTTAGAATCTCGATTTAATTTTTGTATGTATGAGATGTTTTGTTTTTCTGGTGAACTTTAAATATGATTATTTTCGTTAAAAGAAAAAACATATATCCATCCTCTACCTGCATACTTTTTTGTATCTTTTCAACACTTAAAAGGTGTATTCTTTTTGCCAAATACCCCTATAGGGTTTAGATGTAAGATAGATGGATCCAAAAATCCGCTCTGTGATTCCATATCCATGTCAAATAATCAGGCTCTGTTTGTTTGGTTGCGGGTGTGACATAATCGGTTGTGGGCTAGTTGTAGTGGCAAATATACTGTGGCAAGGTATAGTATCTTCCAGCTTCCCTTTTATTGATATAGTTCTTGGTGGCAATTGCATTATGCTGAATTAACCACACCCATATCTTTATCTTCCAAGGGAGTTATGCTTTCCAAAATGTGTTTGACCAAGTGATCAGCTTAGTAAGCTATCAACAAAAAAATTCAATCAATGATAAAATGTGTTTGAAGGGCATATCAGGTCCGTAATTAAAAATGTGAGCATATGTATGCTCCTCACGGAATATGTTTTATATTTGGTCCAACTTATATGTTGAGATATACAACAATCAAGAACGTCTCTCTATATATAGTAGCACTATTCTGATCCTAGATTCAGAATAGTTATTTGGATCACGATCAACACTGTATAGGGCCCGATGCACTTGTTCCCGAACTCCCCGAACTTGTGCAGGAGAAAAAAAGACACACCACTCTTCCACCACTTCCACCCGATGCCCAACCTCCCCCGATCTCGCTGCCGCCCCCCGCTTCCCCTGCCTTCCGGCGCCGCCGCCCCCAGCTTACCCTGCCACACGGCGCCGCCGCCCCCCGCTTCCCCTGCATCCAGGCGCTGCCGCCCTCCCGCTTCCCCTGCCCCGAGGCGCCGCTGACCCAACCTCCCGCGTGCCACCTGACTTCCTTCCCCCGCCGCCCCTTGCTCCGG